CCAGATCCGAAGTCGAACTAAGGTAAAGGACTTGGGGAACCGCATCACGAAGCTAAAGTGGAGCTGGGTAGGGCACCTGATATGGAGACAAGATGACAGATGGAGTAAGGCGATAACTGAGTGACGTCCAAGGACTGAATACAGAAACGTCAGGCGTCCAGCGGCGAGATGGGCGGATGACATCGCAGGAATTGGGGGGCGAACCTGGATGAGATTGGCACAGGATCGTGGGGAGTGGCACAGAAACTTGGAGGCCTATACCCAGCAGTGGGTGAAGTCAGGCTGTATATGAATGATGAATGATAGAACTGATGATCAGTAAACAACTGAACCGATATTTATCAAATACATGTAAGAACATCCCGATTAAATAACCTTTAAAAAAATCATTTTGAGATCAATCTATCAACTTATCCGGATCTACAGTCAGACATAAGGACAAAGGCTTCAAATTTGTAACTCCCATCTTTTTGTTTCGGTTTTTTTATTATACTAAATGAAGGGACCAACAAGTGTGTCTGGTGGCAAGCGACACGCCTGTCCATAAATAAATATCAATAAATAAATAAGTCATAGCGCCGTACTAGAGGAACTCTATGTTATGGGTCCCATGGACACGCATAGACAACAATAAACACAGAAACACCCAAACTCGTGAGATGAATAAATTTAGGCCATACGAATATTTCTCCAGGCCCGGAAATAGAAACCGGGACATCTGCATGGCAGCCCAGCATGGTAACCGTTAGGCCACGGAGGCAGTTTATCGATAGCAGTTGCAACGAGCTTTAAACAGAAAGATCTGAGGGGCACTGCCACTGCAACCTGAGACTTAAGTTGACAAGTCTCATGTGCCTATAATTTCAGTATTACTCTTACCTTTCCAAACCCGAACGCAGTATTGCTAACATTACTGCTTGGTGGCAGAAATAGGTAAGTTGGCAGTACTTCCGTGGACGAAATCTGTCACAAGGAGCTCTAGTGATAATGTTATAAAGTCCGTAGATGAGGGACAGTAGTGGTGAATGACAAAGGCCTACACTCAGCTGTTTAAGTATGTGAATGATGATAATGAACAATAGCATATAAAAATGTATTGTTTAACATGACCCGCTTTAATGGCGTCTCGATGTTGACCTTGTAATCATCGCCATATTGTCCTTCATTGTTTCTAAAATGCTAATCGAATGCAAATTAGTCAACTAAAATTATACATTCAAATATACTCCACATGTGTAACATTTGTCAAGTAAAAAAAATATTAAAATTATGTTTTTGGTAGTAGTACTTCTTGTGAAATGTTTATCCCCTTACCTGCTTCTGCCGTCATGCGTGCTGGTGAAATTACAGGCACATGAGACTCTATAACTTACGTCTCAGGGTGACGGGTTAAAACTCTGAGCAGCACTGTAACCGCTCACGCGATGCGCTCCTCCTACCGCAAAATGGCGGCTATTTGGTTTCGCAAATTAGAAAAGCATTCAGTTTAAATACAAGTTTTTATAAACAAAAATTATTATTCTTACCGGCACCTCTAGGTGTGGTATGCGTCTACGGCTGCATGTATCGCGTGAGCGGGTAAGAGACAGACGTGTCGCTTACTAATAGGCGCACGACTTAAGGTCTATCCACACATATCCGGGACGTGCCCGGGACGTGGACGAGCCGTGCTCCGTGAGGGGCTTAAAAAATATCGTTGCGTATATTTTGTATAAATTCGTTCACACTTCCGTATCCGGGCCGACGCCGGGACGGGCCCGCAGTTCATACAAACTACCACGCCCCGTCCACGGCTCTGATGTGTATGGATAGTCCGTAGTCCCATCATTGGGCATCATAAAAAAAATGTTTTCTCTAACCCACTTAATATACGATTTTCTATTTTTTATTGAAATGATATCAAATGACGGGATGAACAAGTAATAACAGTGTTCTATGCATTTGTTCATTCGATAATAAACTATGCTGTGACAATTTGGGCAACGGAGCCGGTGTAAAACGCGTTCTAGTGCTACAGAAAAGATCGTTCACATTACTCAGTGGTATCCAAAGAAGAATATCCGCATAATTTTTTTTTTGTTAAATTGGGGATCATGACAATAACCTTATTGTTTATTTTTAATTCCTTGAAAGAAGTACACAAATAGAGGAATAACTTAAAAAGTACCAGAGATGTACACTAACAATACTAGAAACTAAGACAAACTTATAGTACCAAAAACAAGATTGAAAAGAACTGCTAAGTAAGGTTACTGTCTAAAGATAAAATTATACCATGAACTACCACCGACTACATCCGAATTGCCCGAGTCAGAATTCTGAAGAAAGATAAAAAACTTGAACTTGAAAATCCATTCTATAAAGCTTACAAATATTTTGACCTTATGCATTAAAAAAAATGTCCATTATTTTATGACATTTAATTTATTATTTATGCAGTTTGTTTCATATAACAATATATTGTTATTTAATTAATATTTTAATTGTGTGTGTATAAACTAATCTTAAGGTAAATTTAGTTATGTAATACAAAATGTTAGTAGTAAATGACACTGACAAGATATGAAGTTTTGTACTATTGACGTGCTAAATGTTACGTGCAAATTATTTTTATTTAATTAAGATAATATATACAAGTAAGGTAAAAAAGACAACAAAAGCTTAACTAATAGAAAATAAAACTAAGATTTTTAAATTATATGAATAAAATTGGGTCCCCGCGGCAAGGTGCCCAAGATGCTGGCAGCGTTCCCCCTTTGTATTGCTATGCTAATGCGTTGGGCAAGGTCCCTTGGATTTCCCAGAGAGTCCATTAATTTTTTCGATAAAATTTTGTACAGATGAAGGGCACTGGGACCCCACGGGCCAAGGGTTTCGACTCCAAAGGCTGTAAATAGGTAATCGGAGCCGAGATCCTGGTACTTATTTTTTTTATTCTCTCTGCCAGCTCAGCTGCGGAGCCAGCCCTCTTGCTGGTATGCAATGGGATGGGGCAAGTGTGTCGGCACATGTGGCGTCTCACACCAGTGCCCGGCCCATACTCCAAGGGATGAGATCCATACTCCAAGGGAGAGAGAGTCATCTGTTGGCGACATGCCACTTGCCTCGAGTACTATTATTATATTATTATTACGTGCTTGTGACGTGGCAAATAAAGAATTTGAATTTGAATAACCAGTTACAACAATTACAGCGCTACTCCAAGCCTTAAATCGTAAAGAACTGTACTAATAAAAACATTAATAATCTGCTGGGTAACCACACTATTTACCTGGTCTCAAACTAGGAAACTCCCTGTGCTATGAGTGCCAGTGCAACGAAATTATATATAAAAATAGTGACAGACGCAGTGTCATTCAGATCTTTGCGATTTAAAGCTCTGAGTGGCGCTGCAACTGCTATGGACTGGCGTGTCGCTTAACATCAGGCGCACGACTTGTTCGTCCAGTTCACGCCGGGAACTCCATGTCTAGTGCCCATAGTGCTAATGGTTAGGCCACCGAGGTCGTGAACTGCCACTTCGGCAAACCAATACACTGTAAAGTCACTTACAGTATTTTGATTTCTCTAGGCCTAACCGCTCACGCGATACATGCAACCGTAGACGCATACCACACCTAGAGGTGCCGGTGATGATTTTATACCGATTTATCGGATATCGAAGTTATGACAGGTAAAAAAAATAATATTAATTGCTATTGCGGTAACTACTCTAGCAAACCATAAAGTTTTTAATGCCTGGGTCTGTCTTTTAAAAAAACAAACAACTTCAAAAATACGTCACTACAATCGTGGGTGTTATTGTTTGGGCTGGTTATTTCGGTGTTTATTTATTGAAAACATACCGTAAGTAGCGTTTTTTAAGTTTACCCTGAATATAAATGTTTATAAACCAAACTTTAAGGAGTAATTTCATCGTAAACGTTAGAACCACTCAAACGGAATTTTATCATATTTATCCAAGTACACCAAAAATTTCATTAGTGCTTTTTAAGTGCAGGACTTGCGGTGTATTACTGCATTTTATTTGAGATGTTTTTGTTGGTAGTACGGAGGTAATTTATTTAGCAACGCAGAATAAATAATTTTTATTTATAAAAACTTGTATTTAAACTGAATGCTTTTTTAATTTGCGAAACCAAATAGCCGCCATTTTGAGGTAGGAGGAGCGCATCGTGTGAGCGGATAGTACCCTGTCACAGCAACTTTTGAGATTTTACTGTTTTTGAATGAGATACTAAAATCTTACGCTGTATGTTTTACATATTACGCAGCCGTATATGACACACATAACATAAGACGGCGCGCGGAATGCATTACAATGTTGCAACATGAACTTACAATGAATTAACGAAAACTCTCAGATCACACAAATATCTTAGGAGCTGAGGTCTACTAAAATTGTCGCGGCTTAAATTTTAACAATAAATAATCTCAGTATAGTGTGCTAAAAAAACCGGCCTCAAAAGTTCGTGGCATGACATCCTTTTTGGAATCATCCGTCACCAATCATCCGTGGAATGACATTTGCCAAATGTTACTGCAGTCGGTTACCAGTAAGTGCGCGAAACCCGATTCACCCTCTAGTACATCTGTAGTTGTAGAATATTTTCGTCAAATTTAAATAGGACCAATACTGAGATACCTTTTTTTCAACAAAAAAGAATCATCAAAATCGCTTTACAAATTTGCCGGAGTTATCGCTAACATAAACACAAAAAATTACAGTCGAATTGAGTCGGTTACAAAAAAAAAATTTTTTTTTTTTAATTCTCAAATTTTCTGGACAACTTCAGTTAAAATTTCATTCACGACATAAAAATACACTCTAATTGATTTGGTTCATTATTTCGAATTAAATCCAACTCTGACCGGGTTATCGGAAGTTTTTAAACTTTGTTATGACACACACGTACACAATTATCCTGTGCAGGCGTAGACTTGTTTCGGCGCACCATTTGCATTAAATAAAACTTAACACACAGACGTAGTGACCTGTTGATATATATTTAAAACAAAAGATATTTTTTTAAGTGGTGGAACAAACCTCAACGACATGGAAGGTCAGTGTAATGAATTTTATTTTCGACCCTGATTTATAATTCACCATCAGTAATAAAGTTATTAATTTATAATAATCATTTTTAGGGAAGTGTTAATCAGATTTCCTATAAAATAATGTCATATATACATGATGTCCCATGGCTATGCGTCTGTGTCGCATAGCCATGGGACATAGCATAGACATGGGACAAGAAAATTTTAGTAGCAGTAGAAGTGCTTATGAAAGTACTGCCACCTTACCATTTCTGTCACGTTCCTGTTTGGGAGGGACAAGGGACAAGGGACAAAATTCCGTTTAGTTCTTGCTGCAAATATTGTAAATAGTAAATGCATTCAAAATTATATATTTACAAAAAGCAACCACTAGAGTTTCCTGCTCATTCTTCTCTGGAGAATTTGCCTTACGAATGATCAGTGGAGTATGTAACATGATTTAACTTTGAACCCGGGAATTCTGTATGGCAGCCCAGCATGGTAACTGCTCGGCAATGCAGGTAGTTTAAATTGTTTTTTGGTTGTAATCTTTCCCCAGAGAATTTATATCCAATAGTGTGAGATCTGGAGATTTCGCCGGCCACCTACTCCGTCCATATGCACTGATCCAGGAAGGAAAACAATAATTAACAGACTCGGCTGTTTTCCGTATGTTACGAGCCAGAGTCCATAATTAATTTATGAAATATAAAATTTCTTGAATTTTTTTTATAATACCAAGGTATGGGACGAATAGGTCGTGGGTCTGGTGGTAAGCGACACGTCTGTTCATAACAGTTGCAGTGCCATTTAGAGCTTTAAAACACAAAAATCTGAGGGGCACATCCACTGCGCCCGTCACCCTGAGACACAAGTTGACAAGTCCCAAGTGCCTGTAATTTCATCAGCACCCTCAAACCTTCAAAACCGGAACTCGGTAATGCTCACATTATTGCTTGGCAGCAGAAATAGGTAAGGTGGCAGTGCTACCCTGGACGAATTCTTTCACAATGACCTCTATTGCTACTAACGTCAAGCTGCACATTGACGTATCTTGTTCCGTTGCACTGGAGGCGATTTTCGAACAAAAATGAATAGTCTGATGTACCGTTGTCCGTACATTTAAACAGATCGCTCTGAGCGGTAATCATACTGAGCAGGACGGGGGTGGGAGTCGGCTCGGAGGACGTTTGCACGTTTGACCTTACCTTACTATGAAATACAAATCTAAAAACTGTCAGACAGTACAACGACTTCAAACCGACCGGTTATCAATTCAGCTGTACTTTTTTGGGTGTATGTTACACAATAAGGGTGACAAACTAAGGGATGAATCCGGTTTAGAAAATCCGATATGCAAACTTTTGAGATTGGTTTTTATTAAGTAAAAAAGTTATAATTATTGGATTTATTATTATTTGTTGTTTACAATGTTAGTAATATAGCTATTGTTAATATTAAAAAAAAAACCTGTATGTTATACAACGACGAAGTATACTCAAAAATTAATACACATTTCAGAAAAATCTGTGGACCCGCCACCATATTCTGCGACGCCGAAGCTTAATCATCAGCATCCACCAGCGCCAGTCGCTACCGTTTCTGGTGAAGCGATCGTCCAAACCCCTATCCAAACAAACGCAGTTGCATCTGCAATGGTCAACCCACCCGTTGGGCCGAACCCTTGCCATATGACATGTCGTTCTTGCGGAGCAAAGATTGTAACCAGAATGGAATTTAATCCAACAACAAAAACTCACTTAATGGCATTATTTCTTTGTTGCTTCGGGTAAGTTTTTTTAGTCGTGTATCTGGTCCCTAAGAGCGGTTACACACGGCCACATTTTGCAGCTGTCGCTAATCGTCTACCTTTAACTTTAACCGCTGTGTGTTACTACTCTGTCGATAACAGTTGAATTGCCACTCAAAGCCTTAAATCACAAAGATTGGAGTCGCACTGCCCCTATTAACAATACGCTGAGACAAAAATTGACAAGTGCCATGTGCTTGTAATTTCACCAGCACCCTTACTTTCCGGTAAACCGGAACGCGGCAGAAAAGGCGGCAGTACTTCACTGGACGAGCTCTTTCACACGGAGCATTACTGCTACAAGTTTCATTTAAACAGACTGTTAGATACCCTTAAAAGTCAATTATTGTTTAATAAATATAAAATGTGTGTTAAAAATAAAAGTTACAAATTTCAGTTTCTTTGATAATGGAAACTGAAATTTGTAACTTGAATTTTCCCTTTGCTCCTAATTACACATAGTTTCTTTTAAAAGCGTATACGTAAACAGGGAAAACCTACTTTACAAAAACAAAAACAACTGTAAATTTAATTCGGCTACGTCGCATTTTCCTGTCTTAGCGAATATTTTCAACAATGGAAACAAAAGGTCAAAAACACATAGAACCACATGCCCTTCACAACAAGAACAGCCCAAAGTCTGAAACGTCAAACTTGATATACTCTTCACTGTACGTTAGTTATCCTGGCATAAAATGTTCCTGTAAATAATTTAGGATCGACTTTAATGTACAAAGGTACAAATAATTAAATACTTATTTTGTACGTACGGATTGGCACAATATCAACAAAATGAAAATCAAAATATTTGAAGAAATATAAATTAATAATCAACAATAAATATATATATTTCAGCCATAGAAGAAATGAGAGTAAAATAGAAATTAGAAATTAACACAAAAAAAAACAATTTAAATTCAACGTTTTAGCTTTTTCATATTCCTTTACAGGTCACTACGTTTAAATAGGTTGACTTGGGACATTGTTTTCGTGGTTTTTTTATTAGACCCGTCGTCCATTTATTTGTAAGTCAATGTCTGAATGCCACTGCAACTATTATGGGTAGACGTGTCGCTTACCACCAGGCGCACGACGTGAATCATCCCGTCACTTGATATGATAAAAAAGAAAAATTCAAATTTAGATAGCATCTCTAGCGATAACTGTCACTGTAATCTCGTGGTAGACGCACAGGTATCTTAGGGCGTCAAAAGCAGTTTTTCTATTTGATTAGATCCGTGTTGAAAAATGTGTTTATAATCAAAAGTGGTAGAACAAAACTTGATTTTTTCAATAAATTTGTTTCCTTCTATTCCAGGCTCTGGTGCTGTGTTTGTCTTCCATATTGTATGGATTCCTGCCAGAACGCAGACCACTACTGTCCTAATTGCAACGCGTTCATTGGAGTGTACTCTTCCTAGCAGTTCTTTATTTAGAGAAGCACTCTGGTCTTCTTAGACCAATATCTGATAGTGTTAAAGCATAGTGTCATAAGACAAGTAGGTGTGGTAACTTTATTCATACGTAGCAGCACGGCTTATATGTGTGCACGCCTGCCGCGCGGTGTGTACGGACACACACATTCGCTGAATAATGAAAGGTGCGTTGGGACAAGACAAGCGAGTGCATTGCAAAATTATGCAAATGTATGTATTCATACACGGCTTGCGGCGAGCGCGCACACATACAAACCACGTTGCTACGTTTATATGGATGCACGATTTTTGCTTTAAATTTTTGGATCGTAATGGATCGTATGCTTCCAATTAATTTCGATAAAAAAAAATTTGCAGCCTTTGTGGCTTCAGTCGGTAACGACTTTCATTTAGAGTGATATTAGCCAGTGAGAAAAGATGTTCAGACGACACAAAAATAGGGACAATTATCGTAAGCTTATCTGTACTTAGATGTTGCCAAAACCGCTTTTCTTACAGGCCAATATAAAATAACATTAGCCTTACGATTCAATAGGACTCCAGAAAGAGACTGTTTTGTTTAAATTATGAATACGATCTAGATGATTCAATTTGCCGTAATGTTATATCGATACAAAAAAATGGGTAGATTGTATACACTTGAATCGATCTTCTTAAAAATCAAATCGTAATGTGCATCCCTATACCATATTCGTCTCATTACACCATGGTTAAAGTCACTTCTGGATCCTGAAATCAGGACGCTGGTATTGACGGCAATGTAAATATTAACCCTAAAAGATATTGTTCACTCAAATGAGATTTTTCCTATGAAATAAAGATATTTTGAATTGAACTTCAACTAACCCTTTATCTAAAAATATTTTTTTGTCTTTGTTATTTATACGTTTCGAAATTAGCAAGAGCGTTTCAAAGAAATCAAAAGTAATCCTTTCATAGGTTTCTCGTAAATGACGCTACAGCTAAAAAGTCGTTGAAAAACCAAATACAAAGATACGACAAAAAACACATAGAAAAATTTGTGAGGTCCGCTGGTTCGTTCCGTGGCTTAGTTGGTATAGCGTCTGACACGGTATGCTAGAAGACTTCGGTATGAATCCGGCTGGATCGAAGGAATTTTTTCTGAGTATTCGATCTTTGTATTAATAATTATAACAAACTAGTGGAGTAATTTCACATATAAAATAATTGAATATTCATTCAATAAAAAAATTTAAATAGGTCTGTGATGGAAGATATAACAACAAATAATCTATTTTCACTTTTTAATGTTGTTACATTTGATATAATTTCTAAGGATATAATCACTCACTGTATATAATCAACAAAAGATATAACAACATAAGGTATAATTTCCATGTATATAAAAAACTTTTAGTATAACAAACATTAGATATAATGATTAGGAGGCATAATGAACAAATGGTATAAGTACTACCAGTATAATGTATTAAATAATATAACACAATGTTTCGTTTTACGTTTTGTTGAAGCGCACTATATTATGTTGATAAGAAGTTTTTTATTTCATTAAATATATATACCTATACAATCGAAAAATATAATTGTTTTTGTATAGCTTTATATTTATTAAAATTTCAAAGCAGAATATTTAATTGCATATACTAACCTAACCAAAATCCACAGAAGGAGGTCGAACCAACTAGGAAATGCAAAATTCGGTTTATTCACCATTACACCTAAACACCACTGGAATTATGTTAATAATACATTATACTCAGTGAATGTTATATCTGAAGTGTTTATATAAAATGAACATTATACCAGTATATTAGATTTAAAGTTGTTATATCAATCGTTTATTATACCCAGTGACCTTTATATCATGCAAGAATATGTCAAATGTCTGTATATCATAAATTAATTATATCTGTTGAGTGTTATATCGACTAAAAATATGTCATTTGTTGTTATATATTACGAACCACACCCAATTTAAATACACTGGTAACTGTAAAGGTATCTATCTAACTGGGCGACGAAATCCTTTCATAGATTTCTCATAGATGGCGCTACGGCTAACAAGTCGTTGAAAAACCAAATACAAAGATACGACAACAAACACATAGAAAAATTTGTGAGGTCCGCTGGTTCGTTCCGAGACTTAGTTGGTATAGCGTCTGACACGGTATGCTAGAAGACTTCAGTACGAATCCGTCTGGATCGAAGGATTTTTTTCTGAGTGTTCGATCTTTGTATTAATAATTATAAACACAAACAAGTAGGGTAAATTTACATAAAAAATAATTGAATATCAATTCAATAAAAAATGTAATGCTTTAATTTAAAAAAGAATTCAGCGAATGCTTTCTTGTAAAAATCTAGCTTTCTTCAAATTTTTTATGATACCAAGTGTGTACTATGAATTGTCTAGAGCGCACACGCCACATGGTGTACGGACGCACACATTCGCATAATAATGAAAGGTGAGTTGACAACGCATTAAGCGAATGTGTACACACACATTCGCACAATTTCACAATGCACATGCATGTACCCGGACACAGCACAAACAAACCGCGCTACTACGTTTGTATGGAGTTATCATGCTCATCTCATTATACCTTGGTTAATCCATTCTTGCCCGCCGTGCCAATTTGGGAACACTTCATTATTGAGGGCTTAGAATAATAACGCATAGAATGATAGTTTCATATCAAACGAACTGTCACAAGTGAGGCAAACATCAAATTCATGTAGGCTAGTTTTAGTAGTAGGTTAATTTTCGGTTTTAGTGAATATTTATACAAAAATACAAGTTGAAACGCGTTACTTCCTTGTGGAATGTGACGTTAGTATCTATTTTATGTTTGTCTGACGTATTTTTACACTCATTTACCGCACATTTCGTCATTTTTAGCTAAAATTCTTGAGCTGTTCGCGGTGCAAGTTGACCTTGAGCACTGAAGGCCCGCCCGCTCGTGTAGGCCCATTGGGCGCGCTTCAATTTGCCTCACTTAGCGTGTGCGGACTAGGTTTCTATGCATTATTATTCTAAGATTGAGGGTATATAAAAAATACTTTGATTGTATTTAACGTGTTGTTGCTTGGTTGAAAAGATGAAAGTGCATTGTTTAGATGTACATCGGAACTATTTTTAATATATTTAGGGAAACGTGTAATAAATGATTGAATTTCAAACATGGAAACAGCACAAACGTATGTACATGTTAATGATTGGTCAAATATATTTTGTGTTATATGTTTATTACCTCAAATTTTGCAAATAACGAAACATTTACAAATATTTGCAGTCATCTGTACCCAATTCCTGAAAATTTATAAATTCAAATATTTGAGAAGTTGTTCAACTATAAAGTGCATGAAATGATTGTTGACTTCAGCAACTTTTACGCATGTCAAAATAATAGACACAATTTTGATATCACTATTACACTTTCTTTGGGATTCAGATACTGTGTATGAATAAGCTACCAAGAAAAAACATGTGCAATAGGATGAGTGGAGTGGACAAAATGGTCAGTCCATTTCGCTCTACAGAATTGACAATCAAGGCAAAAAATCTGGTGGTAGGTCTTATTTACATACAATGACAAGGTTGACATGACCATATCAAAAGCATGGCGATTGTATGTACTGGCTAAAGTAGACTCTATGGATCCATTACTATTTGGACGAACTATAGCCAGATTTCACCGAAGGCAAGTAATTCAAAGGTCATTTGGCCACCCTACTTCCCAGAATGTTGAAAGTTTGCAATCATGACCCTGAAAAGCTTCCTACATTGTACATTGGGTACGTGGTCCTTCAGAGATATTCCGAGTATGGCACGTTCCATTGCCCTTTGTGGTACTCGAATCTTGTGCACGTATTCTTTCTGCTTAACGGCAGCAATAGGTAAGGTGGCAGTACTTCCCTGTCGCACTCTTTCACAAGGACCTCTACTGCTGCTAAAAATGTATGCATGTATCACAGCCTTTGTTAAACTTATTTAAAAACATAATAATAATATCTGAAACTATTAATAATTTTTATTTCAGTTTTCAGTACAAGCTATTAACCAAAAATAACGACTACTTTTGCATAATGGTGTTAGGATTTTTATACAGATATGACATTAAATTAGTGTATGTGTATTGTGCTCGGCTTCTGGTCTACACTGGAAGAGCGAGACGAGCGTGATACCATCGAGTGCGTCTGGTAACTAAAATTTATTAAGCGATTAATGAATGACTTCATTCTCTAAACGATGAATATATACAACTATAGTCTGTCTTTTTCGAAGACGGAGTAAAATAGCATTTGTAGGGTTGCTAGTTTTCATAAAATTTTAAATAGTTATGTAGTTGTTGTCTGATAGTTTTATCGATAGATTGTGAAAAAGATAAAATTTTGTCAAAAATAACTGAATTGTAAATATTACTACGTTCTAATTATTACTAAATTGCGTTATTGCCTTCTTTATTCTTATTTTGACTGTTGGTCTACTAGTAACGAGATAAATTTTTATTCATATACATTTTAACAAGAATTGCTGGATTTGATTATTTATATTGAATTAATATGAAAAATTTTAAAACATGTCTTTTCTTTGTATTTTCCTAAACATAGTTCTAAATACAGTGTACTTATGTATGAACTTACAAAAATTCTAAATTCAAATGAACTTATGTTCAGTAATTGGACAAATAATGGGTCGAGGAGGTTGATTCAAATTAAAATAAATTCGGCTATTTATTCCTTAAGTGTGACCAATATTCAATCGATAGTCGATAGAATATTTATCGACTGCAATCACTATCTGCTTACAAGCGGGCAACACTTTTGCGCAATTAACTGTCATTTTACTCCGTCTTCAAAAAAGACAGACTGTACAAATTGAGGTTAGGGTTAAATAAGACTCTTAGAAGTCAGTTGGTAATTAAAATATTTATTTATTAACACTCATTTAAAATTTCACGAAACAATACAAGTACAACGGTACAGTATAACAAACAACAGGTATACAATTTTATTTAAAAAATCATAAATCAGAGATTCGCAGCACAATTTGCACATCATTTATTATATGATGTATGAGATATCACTATGAGTCTGACAGTTGTTTGTTTACATTTATGATCTCGGATTTCATCTCAAAGCATGCTTACTTCAACCATAAGCAAGTCAAAGTAATTTTATAAAACTATGGATATTTTTTTAAATTAAAATGATCTTAAACTATTTACACAATCGCATTTTTAATAATTTTTAGTACAAAAGCACTATAGAAAAAACCTATACGAAATAAATTATTTAGAATATTTCGACTTTTATATTAATTCTAGATTAATTTATAATGCTTATGCGTACACTAGAAGGACAAAGACCGCTTCTCCGCCATATTGTTTTATGGCTAGTTTAGTAACAGACTTCAATAAATATACAATAATATACTTTCAATAAGTTTGCATGCGTAATTTTTGACTGTATACATAGTGATAATGTAACTATTTTATTACGTCAACTTCAATACTTAGGACATAATTTTTTCCCCTTTTTTAAGCTAAGTAACATCGTCTAGGTCTTCATGAGAATATATATTATACTGTATAACTGACACCTTTCTTTTTCATCAATAGAAATAAACATCAAGTCACCAAAAAAAAAACGCATCGACAAAATGCACGAATGAACGTGAGAACAACATTCAAAATGTTTCAAATTATCACAATTAATAAGATGATTTGCAACGTGAAGTAGCTACTTACTTTCAAGTGATGTAATGATAGAAGTTATTCAACAACTAAAGTTCCTTCAGTAACAAAAACTCTATAATAAAAATAGTTAGGTAACACTTTTGAAAAAGATTTATTCATCATTCAGATCAAAGACTTTGGTTCTAGAGATTGAGAAATGGTGCCGTTGGAACAAGGTTATTCCTATGTGGATACAAGAATTCCTTATAACTTTAAAACGGCTAACCGACTAAATCACTACTTTTTGTGCAATCAGATTTAAACTTGATGTGGTGTGCGGTTCTTGAGATTGAAGAATGGTGTTGTCGAAAAAAGGTTATTCCAGTGTAGACAATAACATATCCAAGTAAGAAATTAAACTATTTTTCCGGATTTAATTCGTATATATATGTTTTTTCAAACAAACCAACATTTTAGGACAAACGAAGCGAAGTATTTGTACCCGCGTCAAAGAACATATAGTTGACGTCAAACACCGTCGCGTAGACAAGTCTGCAGTCTGCGAGCTTGTTATGGACAAACCTACACATACAATCAAGTTCGACAAACCCCAGATCCTTGCAAAAGAAGTCCGTTATCTACCCAGAATGCTGCCATTGAAATTAAAAAAAACATACTAATTTCAACAGGCAAAATGGTTTCTCCGTACCACCTGTTTGGGATCCAGTATTTCCTTTACATAAGACTGCAGTACTGATTAATATGTTTTAATGTATACTAATATCCATTATTAATTAATAATAAAATTTAACTTAATAAAAATCCATATTGTTAAAATAAAATAACTTGTAAAACATATATAGCGTAAATTGGAATGTTCTTTGCGAATTAAAAATACGGTATTTAATTAATGACGTTTGCAAATATAGAAAAAATATGATCGTTTGCATTAGATATACTAGTTGATGACTGTACCACCTCAACCGTGACCATGGGACCTGTAAAGGGCCCGAAACGTTGCTTTGTTTGAAAAAACAAATATACGCGATTTAAATCCTGAAAAATAGTTTCATTTCCTATGTCTAACAATCGCGAAAATCTAAGAACTTGATATACCCAAGTAACTTTAAAAAAGCGGACCGAGTAAGTCCAAATTTTTGTGACTAGATTCAACCATAGAAGAGTCAACTTAAATTTTATATACTCGTTTATGGTCCACGCTAGAATAAAGCACACGACTAGGAAGAGTACGCTCCGATAAACGAGTTACAATTAGGACAATAGTGGTCTGCATTCCGACAGGAATCAGTGCAATACGGGATGCAAACGCAGCACCAACACCTGAAATAATAGGAAAGAAATTAATTTACTCCTGTCAGCAACGGTCACTTTTACACAGCATTCTGATCATTGAAACTATCAAATTTTCAGTATTTTTTTATTGAGCTACCAGCCCCGGCTAGAGATGTCGGTATTCATTGTATTTAAATATTAATTGAAAATTGATATTCAATTATTTTTTACGTGAAATTACTCCACTAGTTTGTTATAATTATTAATACAAAGATTTTTTTTTATTTATAATAATAAATAACGCACACACTCAACATAGCCCCGCACTAGGGAAACCCTGTGTCGCGGGTGCCATGGACACACACATTGACAACCACAAATTACACCCAAACTCACGAGAGAAATAATTGTAGGCCATACAACTATTTCTCTCGGCCCGGGAATCGAACCTGGGACCGCTGCGTGGCAGTCCGGCATGGTAACCGTTCGGCCACGGAGGCAGTTTCGATGTGTGATAAAAATTTAAATAAACTTCTTTTGATTTTCGTTTTTGATATTGCGTCAATTTGTAGGTACAAAAGAAGTCCTTATTTATTTGTACCTTTCTACATTAAGGCGAGTCACCAGAGGAGAATCTGGAAAAACTGTTTTGTCAGATCAAATGGTTTAGTTAATTATTATTAAATAACAGTGTTGTAAAAAATATACAATATACCTGACGATATTGTCTAAAGAATGAGCTAATTTGTGACACGACAGGCTGTACCTTATCCGATCTTATAAAATTCAGAAAACGGGCTAAAATAAAAATCTGAAACGAATTATTTAAGAATAAAATATCTAAGTTTGTACATCACTTTTATATGGAGATATTTCTCTTTAAGTACTACAGCGAACCTGTTTTCAACTGAAGCCCTATTAGTTATTACATAACATTTCCAAATTGCCCATGGCCGTGCCGTCTACAGTTCCAACAGTCGACGTCGGATCTGTCTTTTTTTTCCGCCCATTTTCCGAATTGCACGACGCGAGTAAATTTTGAGTTGTGTGCAGAATAAGTAAACAGGTAAAGAATGTGTAATGTAGAATAAGTAATTTGCAAAAACAGGAAAATACGACTTTACCGAAATAAATTTATGCGTACTAATTACGACAAAACCATAATTTTAAAACTAAGAGCTACAGGACAACTCGAGATCAAATTAATTTAACGTATTAGAACATGAATCATAGTATAATAAGGTAAGCATGGTAACGCCATACAAACGTAGCAACGCGGCTTGTATGTGTGCTGCCGTGTACGGACGCCATCGAGTATATAACCAGAAATGGAGACGAAATGTCATTTAATTTATTTGAAAGCTATTCTGCCATATCATTAATGTGACAACTGCGCTCCAATTGGCCAGCCCGAGTTCGAAACAATTCACGGGTGTCGTCAACTGTTTCACTTCAAATACAACATGTATAATATACGATATACATTTTTTTAAATGGTTTTAATTTAGTTTGTAAAAAAATTAATTCTCAAATAAAGCCAGTGTCCCTACCGCTCGACCCAACCAAAATGAACCGTATTAGTACGGGAAAAGTTTGGATTTGAGCTGAGGTAGTAACGACTCTTAATAACTATCCAGTCAATGAGCCATTAAAAGTAACCAACGATTCACTTGAATTACATTATACACACCTTTATTTCTGGTCTGGGGCTTATGGATTAATTCTCCAGTACAGATAAATACATCCACACGCACTCATGCAACACATCTCACACACTTACACACCCAGAGACAGACACTCTAAGGGTCGTATTCTAGAACTCTACTCAATGCTCACGTCAGGACTTGAGTATGATTCAAAGCACTCGAAATCATACTCAAGTCCCTGGCATTAGGGTCGTATTTCCAGTGCTTGAAATCATACTCAGATCCTCACTTGAGCATTGAGTAGAGTTCTAGAATTAGACACACACAAAGACATACACGTACACATGCCACTAATTTTTACCACCTTTTTTTATTTGATATTGTTTAGTATTGTATATACTTTTCTTTTAATTGCTATACCTTCTCCTATTACAGTATGACCCGTTCTAGATCTCAAGGAAAAGGGGGAATGGCTGAGTTTATTATTATTATTACTATTTATTTATTTATTTATTTAACTTCTTGTCGGAGAACTGACAGACAAACAATCACTTAGAAAATTAAATAAATAATCGAATTCTGATGATGAGTTCCCACATATAAAAATTAACAAAAAACAGCTGATGCTACAACTATCATATCTGATGCTACATACATTCAAAGATTTTTAAAGTTAAACGCCGTTTCGCTGCAGCTATACCAGTACAAAACAGATCAAGATCACAGTCCACACACCATTTATTAAACGCAGAGGAGGCTCGCAATACAAAGGAATTTTGTCTGTAATTGGTTCTAACCAAAGGTATATTCAGCAATGGTCGTTCTCGGAGGCTTTTTGTATTAGTACGGAGCTGTATTTTATTAAGTAAATCCGGACAGTCTATAGAGCCACGAGCAACGCTCATTAGGTAAGAAATATCACTTATTGTACGTCGGTGTTCTAATGGAAGGAAATGATATCGTCTGCATCGGTTGATATAACCTAATGTCCAAACTTGAGCTTTATAATCTAAGAAACGCAAAAATTTCCTTTGGATATTCTCTATACGATTAATGTAAACTTTATAGTTGGGGTTCCAAACGTGACTCGCGTATTCCAGATGACTTCGTACAAAAGCACAGTAAAGAATTTTTATTGTTTTTAAGTTTTTAAAATTTAGAGATGTCCTCATAATGAAGCCTAATGCTTTGGAAGCCCTATTGATTATGCTTTCAATGTGGTCATCAAACAGAAGTTTATGATCATGCATTACCCCTAAGTCACGGATTCGATTTACCTTCTTAATAGGGCTTCCAAGTAGATAGTAAGTATTATTAAGTATGTTGGTTTTTCTGGAGAAAGTCATAGTCAGACATTTAGAAACATTTAGGCCCAGCTTATTAATTGTACAATATTTTTCGAATCTAAATAAGTCTTCTTGCAGTTTATTTGCATCATACAGAGAAGTAACCTGTTTTAAAATTTTCATATCATCTGCGAATAACAATATTTTAGAATTTTCAAAGCAAGTTTCAATATCGTTAATAAATATAACTATTACAGGAAATTTCCTAGTTTCAGACCCATCGAGTATCTAACCAGAAATAGAGACGAAATAAGGGCCATCCATTCCTGGCAACTCATCAGGTAAATGGGCCTGGGCAAAAAATACCAAAACATCTAATTACATAACAAACGGAATCACATTTCATCGGTAATTAAATATTAAATATGTAATTTTGAAATTTTCGTCCATTATAGCAAAGCTCAAGTTAAACTGGTCGATTTGAAGTGAAACAATTGACGTCACGTGTCAATTGTATCGAATTCGGACTGGCCAATCAGAGCACAGTTGTCACCGTAATAACATGGCAGAATAGTTTTCAAACAAATTAAATGACATTCTCTATTTCTGGTTATATAGGAAATCGATGTTCAGACCAGATATTTGGTATTTTTTATCAAACCAAGTGGCGGGACGAAAAAGTCATGCGCCTGATGGTTAGCGACACGTCTGTCCATAGCAGTTGTTGTGTCACTCAGAGCTAAAATTCGCAAGGATCTGAGGGACATTGACACTGCACCCGTCGTCCTGAGACATAAGTTGACAAGTCCCATGTGCCTGTAATGTGAAACTTACCCTTCAAAGCCGTAACGCAGTAATGCTAACATTACCGCTTTGCAGAAGAAATAGGTAAGGTGGCAGTACTTTCCACGACGAACTCTTTCACAAGAAGTTCTATTGTTACTAAAATCATAATGCAACGGTTATCTAGCACAATGTTAATATTAACATAAACTTATCACTAGTTTCAAACATGAAAATAATGTTTGTAAAATATATGACGTCATGGTAAATCTCCAAATACATACGTAAACAGAAAAATGTATAGGGCTTGTCTTGTCTTTGGGTAATGTGTGTGTTGTAGAAAAGTGTATATAGTTTTAACTTACCCGAAGATACAAAGAAGTATTGCTATCAAGTGAGTTTTTGTTGTGGGAGCATATTTGACGCTGGTGACGACTTCTGCTCTACATGACGGACACGTGGTACGGGAAGGTTTTGGCCCAACAGGCCGGCTGACCACTACAGGTGAAACTACGTTCTGGACAATGACTTCACCCGGGCCCGTATGGACTGGCGCTGATGGATACTGCTGGGGAGGGTACGGCGTTCCATATTGTGGTGGAAGGTTGTCCGGATTTGGAGGTATATTCGGATATATTTTTCCTAAAATAGGTATTAATTTGTAAAGTAACGGCACGCTATGATGGCCGCTTTGGTAAATTACTAGTGAGGTCAAATGTCAATTCATTATCGAAAATGTTTACTTAATATATCGTCAATTTGAAACTGCTTTTGTGCTGGCCAGCGATCCCATAAGTGACGATCGTATTAGATTTCATTTTTTAAAATTTCGAATTTCGAAAAACAAATTCTATCGTAAAATTATGCATTCATAAATTTTACTGCACGTCACTATTGACATCAATGTACAGCAATTAGCTCCTTCAGCGTAGTTATGAATTAATACGAAACTTCACGAACGGACAAATGTCAAAACGGCCATCATAGCGTGTCGGTACTATAAAATAGTTATGGTATAATTTTCTATAACAGACTGCTGAAACATCAATAGCATGTTTATACATACAGAATTTTAGTACAAAAATTATGGCCCATAATCTTACCCGGTTAATGGAAGTTTGCGTACAAAAACCACATTCGTTTGAAATTAAGCATATACTGTACATCGCCTTTTATTTTATGTAAAAAAAATATTGAAAAACATGTCATGGGCAATAAAGATTTGATAGTAAACACATTTTTAATTATGAACAAGACCCAAATTAGGTTAATGACAAACTTTCTGTCACAAATATCATCATACTCGTGCAGAGGAGCCATGGCCTCGGGCGGTACAACAATCGATTGGGGGCGAGCGCGGCGGAGTCAACATTTTTTTTTACTTAAAATTAGAAAGTAAATTCCATTATTTAAGAGAATTATATCTTAGAATATGGCGCCAGCAGGCGAACATAAGAACGCAATAAAACCGAGCCTGCCCGAACGAACAAGTTTTGTAATCATGAAAATAGAAGTGGCAGAAAATTTAAATACATACATCATTTTTTATTCTACAATTCTCAGTACCCACAATAAAGCGACACATACCATTGTAAACTACACAATATTTTCCCATAAATCTAGCCATTTGTCGTTTCTGTACGCTATGGTTATAGTTTTTATACTCTGGTAGGAAATATCTTTATATCTGTTGTTAAAAATTCATACAACAAAATTAAAGTATTTTTATCATATGAAAATCATAAAAATAACACGAACTTCATGAAAAAAAAAAAACTATATATAAGTATGTGAACATTTATATCCTATTTAAGCATAAAAAATTATCGACTATTCTTACTCTCGTGACGAGTTGTCATTTTGCAAATATGACCATTCCTTGTATAATGTAATATGACCTTCCATTAAGGTGTCAATTATTTTTCACTACAAAATTTTCACTTTAAAAAAATGGTTGCAGTTTGTTACATATAGTACTGTAGGAGCTAGGATAGCTGACGAGTAATTATATTTTGATTTGTTTGATTAGGATGTGGTCATGGTCTGTCCTTTTAGATAGGTTTTTGGCAGACTAAAGCCATAGCCTCGGTGGTTTACTTGTTGGCAAGGTTGTAGCTTCCGAGCAGTGTGTGGCTAGCCTATAGTAAAGGCTGATCACTTATGTAAGTTGCCTATCATAGGTAGGGCACCAGCTAGGGATGTTCACCCCTTCAGTTGTGAGGAAGAGGGATGTAGTCTAGGCTCTACTCTGAGTAGAATCACTGGCTGAGTGAATATAGTTTTGTATTTAGAATGTGAAATGTGTGTGTTTGAAAAAATGAAATAGAAAGAATAGAACATCTTGAGAGTTCGTAATGTAACCCGAATCAGAAAATATGTGAAAAAGTGCAATAAAGCAAGTTTTGAAGTTTATCCCAGTTTAAATTTATAAAAGTACCTCTCGCTACGCATCCTAGGCTACGCCCCAGTTACAGTACCTTAGATTAATTAATTACTTTTGCATGTTTAAGGTAATTAAATCACTATGAGGGTCATTCAGTTGAAAGTTACATAACTAGTGATGATCTTCTGTTTTGATATTTTGATCTGGTTTATCGGTTAATTAACACACTTCAATTACACTCATCACTTTTTTAAACAGTAAACGCGGCAAAAGTTTCATTACCTATCACACTGTAAAAAACATTATCCTAAATCAAATCCAGTGCACTCACCTTCCATTACAATTAGGTTAATTTTCCGCCACAAAATAGGACTATTTCAATTGGTTTTTTTTTTAATGTAGCGACACGTCACCGCTTTTGCGAGTTAAGTTGCTATTGCTATTAGGACAAACGCGCGCTCGAATAAATACACAATTGTATTTGAGAAACAGTGTTGCTAGTTTGTAAAATTTCTACCAAAGTGTTACGTTTTCAATTGTGTTGACAGATATATAAAATTCGTGGCCACATTTAGGTATAGTTTAAATACAAACTCTATCTTCTTAGTCTCTTGCTCACTGCTGAGGATCTTGACTCCACTTCATCCTGCCAACCATTTGTCTGCATTGGTTGCGCTCAGTCGCGTGGTGTAGTGGTACGCAGCTCCAGGTTATCAGCATCTCGATGTGCCACGTGACCATAAGAGCGTATCACACGCTGCATGCAAGTTGAAGACGCTGGCGTTGTTTATATTCAGTACCTCAAGTTCAGAGACATTGGTGCGGCGGGCTGTCCACGGTATCCTTAACATTCTGCGCTAAATACAAACATTGAATTGAATTCCATAGCTGCCACTTTATTAAAAACCTGATCGTAACAATAGTGGCGGGCCAATTTAAATGTGAAAATTATAACGGCTTCCTTAGTAAAAGTCTGTAACTTATTAAAATTAAAAAACAAAATGATTAAAGTTACTATAGCGTCTGCCACGGTTTCCTGGAAGACGTTGGTTCGAATCTAGCCGGGTCAAAGGATTTTTTTCTAAGTGTCTTTGTATTAATAATTATGACAAAGTTGTGGAGTAATTTCACAAAAATAATTGAATGTTATGATGGTCAAACATCGTGACATTCAATTAACTTAAAAATTACAATTAAAGCGACACCTCTAGTCAGCGCTGGTAGCTATAATGGTACCTGTCTGGGTGAATAGATATCTCACTGATAACGCTACGGCAAAAAAGTTTTTAAAAACCAGAAACAAAGATCTGCAAAAAGCATATAGACAAATTCGTGAGGTCCTATATTTCATTCCGTGGCTTAGTTGGAATAGCGTCTGATACGGTTTACTGGAAGACGTTGGTTCGAATCCAGGCGGGGTCAAAGGATTTTTTTCTAAATATTCGTTCTTTGTGTTCGTCGACTGTATAATAATAGTAATAATAATAATAATAACGCACACACCCCGTGTCGCGGGTGCCATGGACTCACATAGACAACCACAAATAGACCCAAACTCACGAGAGAAATAATTGTAGGCCATACAAATATTTCTCCCGGCCCTGGAATCCAACCTGGGACCTCTGCGTGGCAGTCCGTCATGGTAACCGTTCGACCACGGAGGCAGTTAAGTGTATGTTTTTTTTGTACGTATATTACGCAATAACTGCGGAATTTGTGAACCGATTATGACGATTCTTTCTTTGTTGGAAAGAGGGTACCTCAGTACCCCACTCAGCAGCCCCATTTAAATTTCAAGAAAATATTCCACCTCTAAGCGTGGCAAACTGGGGGATGAATGACTTTTGACGTCGGTTTAGTAGTACTCTGTACCACATTATATTAATAAAATTATAGCAGTTTCACAAACACAATTGAATATCGTGATAGTCAAACATGGTAACAATAAATAAACTTAAAAATTATGATTAAATATATACTCCCGGACACATAATTCGAGTCACCTCGCATTTTTGCCTTAAAGGGCAAGAATGCAAAAATAGTGTTATCATCGAAGAAAAAGGTTTCCCCCGGTTTCACAATTCCAAATTTCTAACAAGAACTTATGGAAAAGACTTTTAATATACTAGTTTCAAAATTACGTAGGATAGTTCTTGATCAATCGAACATTATTTAAGCTTAGGGCATTTAATACTGATGCGAGGTGGCTCGACTTATGTGCCCGGGAGTGTATTTAGATATTAGATAACACCACGTACGTTGCTTTAATCGCAAATTAAGTAACTAAAGCATTTGTGTTATGGAAATCGGGAACAACGACGGTACACCATGAAAACCTGTCCGTAAACCACTTGACCATTGCGATGGTAACTATAATGCATACATAATAAATTTCAATTAGAATGTCATCTGCCTTGTCCCATGTCTCTTACTTTGGTGCTCTTATTAACGATTAAGGCATTGACTTACAAATAAATGAACGACGGGTCTAATACAAAAACCACGAAAAAAATGTCCCAAGTCAACCTATTTAGACGTAGTGACATGTAAAGGAATATGAAAAAGCTAAAACGTTGAATTTAAATTGTAATGTCATCGCAGTACTGTCTAATTTTGCTTGCTTCGCTGTCAGTCGAACAAACGAAGACTAAAGCGTGAATGACGCTCTGTATATGATTTTAACGCCCTATAAGTTCGGACACTTTTTAGCGCGGACCCGACGTCCATATAATTGTAAGTCAATGGATTAAGGCATTATTCTATGTCAATAAAAATGGAAGTATATTAATTTGTTATTCGACGAACCCAGATGTTTTGCACGATTTAACTTACATTGGGTTCCCGGACTAAAAAAATATTTTTTTTTTATTTAGCGCTCTTTGTTAATTAATTTGATTGCTTTTAGTATTGTAATGTCTATACTGTACTGTCATATTATTATTAAAAACGTCTGTCATATAAAATGTAATATATGACTCCGTGATATTGACGTCATTATAGTGACATACAATTACGTATAAAATCACATTATTGACTGGATAATTGGTTTAGGCGAGAGACATACAAATAAAAAATTCTTTATCGAATTTTTTTGACCGACTTCAAACAAAGGGTTCTCAATTCGACGGTACGTTTTTTTTGTATGTATTTTACGCGATAACTCTTTTATAAACCGATTTTGTTGATTCTTTTTTTGTTAGAAAGAGGGTACCTCAGAAGTGGTCCCAATTAAATTTGAAGAAAATAATCCACCTCTAAGGGTGGCAAACTAGGGGATGAATGACTTTTGAAGTCGGATTGTTTAGTACTCTGTATTGATATTGTTAAGTTCTCACGTGTTTTATTTGCTAATAACTCTCACTATTGGTGTAATAAATTTAGCAGCAGTAAAACTCCTTCTTAAAGAGTTCGTCCGGGAAAGTACTGCTACCTTACGTATTTCTGCCACCAAGCAGTACTGTGAGCATGACTTCGTTCCGGTTTTGAACGGTAATGGCCAACGGGTGACGGGCGTAGTGGGAGTGCCCAGAACTTTCCGATCTAAAACTCTGAGTGGCACTGCAACTGTCACGGACAGGCGTGTCGCTTTCCACTCACTGTCACTTGGTATTAAAAAATGACAACTCTTCAGGAGAGATGTTTCAAGTTTCTGAAAACGAAATTAGTTGATAACTTTTTATGCTCAACTATGAGTGGTATTAAATTTGAGATATTTATACACAATTTGTTTCATGTAGTTCGAATTATTCTTATAATTTTCGTTATCTTTATCTCTGTGTGTAGGTCTTAATGTGATACAACAATTATGTTGTTCGATTTGCGTAAATGTAAATTGTAACGAAATTGTGTTTCTTAAGGGTCGATACAAACTCACATGGCTTTGGTGTTGTGTTGAAAGTGAAAGTGTTGTACCAATCACTTGGTAAAAAATATATAGTCTAATTGAGGATATGCATTGATTAATATAAGGCATGGAAATGCGATTTCTAAAAATTTTCACGATAGAATAAAAACACAAACTTCCTCGAAATTTTACAAGAAAACCGCTGTGTATTCAATAGATACTTTACATATTTTTTTTGTCTATATGTGTGTCTATTACACCCGCGACACGGGGTGTCCCTAGTGCGGGACTACATTGAGTGTGTACGTTATTATTATTACATACCAATGATTTTTTTTTACATCAACTGAACTAAACAGAACACGTGTAGTATACGTCATACTTCTTCAAATGGTTTTAATTTCGTTTGTAAAAAAATAATTCTGAAATAAAGCCGGCGTCCCGGGAAAAATTTGAATTCGAACTGAGGTAGTATAAACTCTCAATTCACCAAAGCAAAAAAATACGTATTTAACATAAATTAACTTTAACACGCACTAGCTCTGCTGCCGTTAATATTTTAGCAGTAAATCAAGTAAACAAGTGTTGTTAATGTTAATTTGTTTACGTAATGTAGTTTTATGAATATTTTGTTGCTTTGTGTACCTGGTGTATATTTTTAAACGGTCTAGTGATGTGAATTAGACCTAGTTATTGACAGCTGAAGGGCATCGTGATGACCTAGTCGTCGTTATGCTTGGCCGCACAAGTAACAATGTTTTTATCCTCAACTTTGACGTATTTTATACCTAACTGGGAAGTTAATAGTTATTGAATTTCTGTCACTTAGAAGGAGTATTTTTAACCATTTATTTAACGTTTGACAGCTCAAATTTTACCCGCTCACGCGATGCGCTCATCCTACCGCAAAATGGCGGGTATTTGGTTTCGCAAATTAGAAAAGGATTCAGTTTAAATACAAGTTTTTATAAATAAAAATTATTATTCTGCATTGCTAAATAATTACCCTCCGTACTACAACAAAAACATCTCAAATAAAATGCAGTAATACACCGCAAATCCTGCACTTAAAAAGCACTAATGAAATTTTTGGTGTACTTGGGTAAATATGATAATATTCCGTTTGAGTGGTTCTAACGTTTACCATGAATTTACTCCTTAAAGTATAGTTTACAAACATTTATATTCAGGGTAAACTTAAAAAACGCTACTTACGGCATGTTTTCAATAAATAAACACCGAAATCACCAGCCCAAACAATAACACACACGATTGTCGTGACGTATTTTTGAAGTTGTTTATTTTTTTAAATGACAGACCCAGGCATTAAAAACTTTATGGTTTGCTAGAGTAGTTACCGAAATAGCAATTAGTATTAGTTCTTTTACCTGTTATAACTTCGATATCCGATAAATCGGTATAAAATCATCACCGGCACCTCTAGGTGTCTACGGCTGCATGTATCGCGTGAGCGGCTAATTAATTAATGATGTTCTAATGCGTTTCCGATTCGATTTTTTATAACAATCGATTTTATTTATGAAGAAGTTTTAACCGTGAATATGA